AATATATAGGAAGTGGTTCAAGTGTGTTTCGGTTATAAGTACAACACAACAATTTCTGCTTATTGTTTAAACCATTCAATAACATAGTAAATTATTTACCTAACAAGCATTCATCACATTGACAGTGAATCTAACACTCACAGTCCTAATCTAACACTAAGAAGCATTCATCACAGTCTTGGTCAGTTAACCCTCCATCACACTCACAGTCAATAAGCATTCATCACACTCACAGTCCTAATCTAACACTAAGAAGCATTCATCACAGTCTTGGATAACTAACCCTCCATCACACACAGTCAATAAGCATTCATCACACCCACATTCCTAATCTAACACTACTTAGCATTTATTACCAGCTATGAATTAATAAACAATAAATGACAAAGTTAACTCTTTACCTAATCTTAAACTATCACAAACAAACCACAAAACCATATACCATATAATAGGGATCACGCACAAGGTTTTCNCTNTTAATAAGCTATGAGTTAATAAGCTCACNTCAATGACAGAGTTTTCTCTGTTTAAAACAGGTGAGCAAATATAGGTTTAGACNATTAATAATAGGGATCAGGNACAAGCAAGTATAAACAAGGCAAATGATTTATCTACCAATCTGCTTAACACATACACATTATCTATATGAATCCTATGATTTATAAATATTATATAAACACCAAGCTAAACCAGTTTATGGGACTGAGTACTATGTAAATAAACCAGTTTATCAATACACATACGAATTCCAGATATATATTAACCAAAACCAACAAAATGAACCTTCAAGTAAGCAGTAGCCTTCTCCTTGTCAGTGAAGACACCAGTGACTCAACAACGAAGTCAGCACTAGCCTCACCCCATGAGATATCCTTAGGGTTCCCTCGCAAACACAAATCACTTATGAGATCAAAATTCTCACAACAAATAAGCTAATCAACATAAAAAAAAATCAAGCTGCGACTGAGTACTATATAAATAAATCACCTACACACTCAAAACACAAGGCAAATGATTTATGTACCAAACTGCTTAACACAAATCACTTATGAGATCAAAATTCTCACAATAAATAACCTAATCAACATAAAAACCAAGTTGAATACTATATAAATAAATCATCTACACACTGAAAAGTGAAAACACACTTGCATAAACGACCTCTGACATAAAACACACAATTGTTATTTGTTTTCTCTTAAGAACTTCATCTAAGAAGCACCATTGAACATGGCCTACAATGGTTAGATTTCAAAACTGAAACTATACTAACTTGTAACACTTATTTTCTGACCATGGAACTGCCGTCGTATTTTCCCATTTCTGAGTCTCAAGCTCACATCCTTTGCCGGCGATACAATCCTCTACATTCTGGCTTGTTTCTTGACAACACTTTGGACCAAGTCCATGTCTTACCACGCGCGACGAGGGAAGATGTATGGGATCATGGAAAATATCTTGAGAGAATTCCACAAAGGCTCGACGAAGAGAGAGACATCACCACACCATTTGTGAAGATCGACGAAGAGACAATACAACACTTCAGTCATGATCATCATCTAAAGGATCCAAAGGAATAACAACGATTGTGAACATGAAATCATGTTTTGTCAAGCTTGTTGTCTTCAATTAATACGTTCCACCGAACGTTTTTATGGTTGTATGCAATGCAATTTTGTTCTCCACGAGGCATGTGCACGCCTTCCTCTCAAAAAACACTATCCACTACACAAACATCCACTTACCCTCCACTCTTTCCCTCCTAAACCCAACTTTGAGACTTATGTCAAAGGCATGTTCCCATGCGATGGTTGTGACCAACTAAATTGTGGGTTTGTTTACAAATGCGGCGAAAAAGGTTGTGAGTTTCAACTAGATGTCAGGTGCGCTTCTCTTCTAAACTCTTTAATCCATAAAGATTACCACCATCAACTCGATCACCCCCTCTTCTTCAGTAAGAGAAGAGAGAAATGCATGAGTTGTAAATCTAGCAAGTGCTCACGTTATCTCTTAGAATGTAGGAAATGCAACTTCGTTTTGGGACTTAAATGTGCTACTCTGCCTTGTATGGCACGGTACAAACACGATGTACATCCTTTCACTCTTTGTTATGGTAAAAAAATACAAAAAATCTTCAATATTGGTGTGAAATATGTGAATCGGATATAGATGCACAAACATGGTTCTATACTCGTGATTCTTATAAAGTCAACCTTCATATTGAATGTTTGATGAGAAGAGGTATTTACATGAAGCCACACCAAATCATTAAATATAAATGATGAAGAAGTTGAAATTGTTCGAAACGATGGTAGTGCTCCAGTATTTTGCTATGTATGTGGTAGACAATGT